GCTGACTACACTCAGTCTTCTTGCACCCACGGGGAAGTCTCCTGGCAGCACTCAGAGCTCTCTAACTCCAAAATGATCCTTCCTTGGGGATTCCTTGGAGCTGAGGGTGGCGCTCAATGGTTAGTGCGCTTGCTCAGCCAGCGCAAAGCCCTAACCCCGCGAAAACAAAGATGATGGTTCACTGCATTGAAAAGAATTATTTGGGGTGGAGGAGATAGCTTGGCGGTCAAAGTGCCTACCTGACAAGCACAAGGATCCAGGTTCGATCCCCGGTACTGCATACTGTGCCGGTCCCAGAACCTCAGGTGTGCCAACCACCAAAACCCGTTGTGGTGGTGGCTGTAATCCCAGCACTGGGGAGGCTGAGGCAAGAGGACCACTACAAGTCTGAGCTGCATAGGGAAACCCTGTTCATAAAATAAATAAATGCTTTTTTAATTATAAAAATAAAAGGAATTCTTTAATGTGTCACTCATCCTCCTCTGAAAGAAAGCTGCTCAGCGTTTGGGATATGGCCACATGGTGGGGCTCCTCCAAGCTGACGCATACGAGGCCCAGCAGCGTGCTCCTTCAGGAGGCACAGCCTGTCTGGTGTGCGTCTCAGTTTCCCTAAGAAAGCTGTCCAGATTCCTGCCACCTGGAGGAACCCACCTGCTCAAACACAATGCACTGCACTCCCCCATAGCTAGCTGGAAACAGGCTGGCTCAGTGTGGGCACTGTTCACAGAGGCGGAATTCCAGCCAGGAGCCCCCTGCCAATGTCTCCGCGGGGGACCATTCGGCTCCACAGCCGCAAAGAGCAAAAAGCAAGGTCGCTTTAGTACTCCTGTGCTGGAAGAAATACTAGAGTGCTGACACCATGTTGCTTATGAAGCCGGGCCCTGCATCTGCAGGCAGGGTGGGGAGAAGTGGAGGAGAAGAAAGGAAACTTCCAGAAGGATGTTTGGATCTGCAGTTAGTTCCTGTTTGTGGCAGAGAGTTCCTGTTACGAAGATACATGTGGCTGCGCCCAGCCTTCTGGAGCACTGGCCCATTTCCCAAGAATACAAGACACACAGTGACATTTATGTTTAGTTGAACTTCTATTAGGCTTACTGTGAATCATCATAAAATAGCATCATAGGAGAAACAGTGCGAAGAACATTATCGCACAGATGAGAAAGCAAAAGCTCAGTTTTCCATAGTGAAACAATGGAAGATTAGATGAAAACCTGTTTGAACCTGAGATAATTAGACTGTACTTTTGTGCCTCTGCTGTGTGATACTCTGTGGTAGCAGTTTTGCTTTTCCTGTGAACCAGTGTGTTGCAGTGAATTCATGGCCATGCTGGACAAGCGTGACATGCCGTGGGTCCCAACAGCTTTGTCGTGTCTCATCTAGGAGTGTAGCACTGGAAATCATCTGAGGAGGGAAAATGGGCCAATCATCAGGCCATCTTCAGTGGCTCAGTGTAGGGAGCCCTCCATTATATGCAAAATGAGAATTCTAGGCAATGTGTCCCTAAGTGGTCCCTTTTCTTTCAGTGTAGCAGGTACAGTCATAGCTTCCAGGATAGTCGGAAAATTATCCACATGTACTACTTTGAGTTTGTGACTCAGCCTCCATACCAGGCTTTTAAAGGTGCATTTATATGCTGCAGATAAAAACTGTCGATTACAAAGTCTGTAGTAGGGATTTTAAGCCACCGCCACCTGTAAGGGTAATTCAGAAGGCTGGTGAGACTAAGATACCATGGCTTATTTCCAACAGCATCCTTTCATGAGAATGAAATGCATTTGAAATGACGGTCTGTTAGTGACAGGGTCTACAAAACAGGACAAGAAGAAAATGACCAAACTTCCATGCTAAGAGTGCAGAGCAGATGATGCACAGCATTTCAGGTTGCCATGGCGACACTCCCTGGCTCACTGAATGTGATGCTGCAACCCATCAGAAGGGACCAACCTTCTCTGAGCTCAGACAAATCTGGCAGTTCAAGAAGGTCTTGTTCCCCTTCTGTCATGTCCCTAAATAAAACTACAGGGTGGGAAAGACCAGAGAGGTCTGCACCATGCTAAAAATGCAATGAACATAGCTGGGTACAGCTCAGAAGGTAATTGGAAGACCCCAAGTATAGTGTAAACAAGAAGTGCCAGAGGAGATCGGGACACAGATGAGCTTGGATGAAAGTTACTGGATAGGCCTGAGGGTAGAGTTTGAGATTCCTCGGTACAGTCCAAGCAGCAGGGAGGGCTGGGCAGAGCTCCTGAGACAGAGATAGCAGGTCATCAGGCAGGACAGAAGCCAGCCCAGACTTTGGTCCAAGGCTGCCATGAGGAAGGGATGGGGTGGAGAGGATGGGGCCAGATTATGGGAGCTGAGCTGAGATTTGACCTCAGAGGCCATGGAGATTTATCTAAGTCTCTGAGCAGGATGGTAATCTGATAAAAGTCATGTTTGATAGACACTGCTTGGGAGTACAGCACAGGGGTCAGTGACAGGTACAGGGACCAGAAAAGTGATAAAAGCCTGGGTGTTGGAGGTAGCTGTGGTCTTCAAGAGCAGTTGTTCACAAGGAAGCATTCAAGCATTTGGTACTGAGGGAGGAAGGGAACATGATTCTGGAACTCCTCTCCTGTACCCCATCCACCTGGGAGTCAGATCTGAGTTTGGGCTAGTTGTAAGTTCTATCATCCCTCTACTTTGGAATATGAAATAAATAGAGAGGGTTTCAGGGCAGTGAAACTACTGTGCGATACTATAATGGTGGAGACTTGTCATTATACAGTTGTTCAAATCCACAAAATGTACACCAGCTTATGGGCTTTAATCATTGTCACTGTAGATTCATCTATTATTACAAGACAAACAATGCCCACCCTTGTTCAGGGTATTTGTAGAAAGGATGTTTGTATACCTGGGAAAGAGGGTACATAAGGACCCTCTGTACTTTCTGTTCAGTTTTGTTGTGACACTAAAACTGCTCTAAAATAAGAAGTTTATTTGAAAATAGAAACAAATGAGCAGGAACAGCAACAGTAATAATGCAACTTGGCAGAACCAAAATCAAAGACAAACAGACAATCGCTATGGAGACAAAGGTCAGTGTGCAGCCGAAGACAACAAAGCACAGAGCCACTCAATGTAGGAGGCATGGGTGTGTGGGAGAGGAGCTACCAAGGCAGAGCTCCCTGGAGCAGGGCCTTCCTAGAAAGGAAACCTTGGCCCTTCCCACTAACGAGAGACCCACTAAGAAGAATGGGCAAGAACCAAGGGGTTGCAGTCCATACCCTCAGGAAACTCTGCAGCTGTGTTGTCACTTGGTTTTTGGATACACTAACTTGCCACCCTCAGTGCTGACAATATTGTACAGAGAAGTAAAGGACAGTGTCCCGAACCAGCGGGTCAGTCAACGAAGGTCACCTGGGAGAGGAGCAGGGAATTGAAGAGGGGACAAAGGACAGGAGATGTGAGAAATGGAGACAAGACAGGATTCTGATCAAGTCTCGTTTATTCAGGGGAGATGCTGGGTATATATAGTGGAGGCATAGGGAAATGACGTCGGCGGGTAAAAGGCACGAGTAACTAGGCATTCGGGCTATGACAGGAAGTCCCACCTCCTGGGCATAGCAGGAGACTTACAGGAAATAGGCGGAGTAAGAACTAGGAACCTAACTCAGCAGAGGTAGGGGAGGAGGAACCCGGAAACCCACGTGCAATAGGATTGGAGGCCTGGAGTTATTGTGCCTCCCACAGGACAGGAAACAACATCCTTTTGTTGCTTCAGTGACATTTTGGATCTAACACTAATTGTTTGCTATGATTCTGACTTTGAATGATTGATTGATTGATTGATTGATTGGAATTTTTAATCCATTGTTATGCATTGTCACTGTATGCATTGTTTCTCTTAAGTATTTTGACCTCTAAGGATAAAGGGATGCTCTGACTTAATATTACAATAAAGCAAAGGCCCATCAGAACCTGAAACAAGACAGTTTGTACTAAGCTGATTGTGAGGCAATTAGTTAAATAGTTTGTGACTGATACACTATTTATATCATATTTCCATTCCAGCAGTCCTGGCTTATGTGTGATACTCACAAATAATTCTGTTGTGTTGATTACATAAAGACCCATAGCAAAAAGATAGTTGGTGCTGATAGCCCATAAAGGGTGCAAAGTACAGTCTTCTAAAAAATAAAGTGTTCATCTGACTAAGCATTTAAAGGTTCAGTGGAATTCATAGCTCAGTGTAACTTGGGGTCATTATGCACATTCGGATCAGTCTCGGGATGAATTACCTTCATCTCCCGGAAGAATCGGTGCTGGCCAGGGTTATTGCTTTAATAATGCACATGTCTGCTGTTAATGTTTACCAGCTAGCTAATCAGCGCTCCAGAGAATACATGCCATGTTTGCGTTGTTACAATGTAGACATCATTCCGCAGTTAACTTCATTACAACTAGAAAATAATCAGGCAGCATTACATTTTTTCATTTTTCACTGTGAGGCTTTAAAATAATTAAATATATCCACATACCACTCTAGGTACCATTTATGCATACAGATGACATTTATATTCACAAGGCTACATAAATATTCACACTCATACATATCCATGCGATTCTTATGAGGTATATTTACAATCTGCACAGTAAAGGAGGATTGTTTTGTGTTGTTATAGTACAAAATAAGATTTTCCACTTATTTTCCTAACCATACAGTAAATAGTGTGATTCACAAATTAGGCACTGGGGGGCCACGTGAAAGCTGCCATGAATGCTGAGTGAATGAGTACATGGAGTGGGTTTTGACTTGAGAACTTAAGAGAAAAATAATTACAGTCTTTTACACACAGAGAATAATTTGGAAGGGCCAAAAAAAAAAAAAAAATACTTGATGCTATGTTAAGCATAGTTTTTAAATTATGCTTTATGTTTGAGAGAAGGTAAAGAATATTTTCAAAAGATTTTGTACTTAAGCAATAATGACATTTAATATCATTCTCTCCTTGTAGGCCTCGCAGTGCAGATTATTTTATGCAGGAAGCTAAACGAATGAAGCATAAAGCAGACGCGATGGTGAGACCGTTTTCTTTCTGGATACGTTCATCCAAATTATGTTTGTACTGCTGCTTCATCAATGGGGCAGTATAGCTGGGGGTAATTATAAAATCTATTACAAGGATGGCTGGGCCTGTTAAATGGAGAAATGTTTATGTAATCAAGTGCTCATAGCCCAATACATTATGACTTCAACCAATAATGTCTGACTAGGAGAAAGCCTTAGGTAAATGAACACTTCAGTTCAGTCCCAAGGTTTGCATGATAACTGAGCCAACTGAGTCAGTGGGTGATAACATTCTTAAAAAAAAAAAAAAAAAAAAAAAAACCACCTAGATTTGCAATTTTTTGCCCTTTAATTAGCTTGGCCAATTCTTGGCTTGGTACCAGGATCAAATCTCTTTTCAAAAACACTTGTGTTTTTTCATATGCATCTGTCAAAACAAATGCTTTTTGTCATCTGTACAATACTATTATCTGCACATAAAACCATAAAGCCACCATCATTTGAAGTTTCTAAAGACTATTCTTACTTGAGTAATCTCCTGTTTCGGGAGTTTGACTCCTTCAAGAGATAGAAAATTTCAGGGGTTTTTTTTTTATTAAGAGTTCATAAAGTTCTGTTCCATCTTAAGGCCCCATCCTGAAGGACTGCATCCTGCCTGATAATTCCAGTTTTATTCCCCTCCAGTCACTCCAGGGGTGGAGGGAGATGAAGGAGGCATTTCAGATGACTTTGAGAATGTTATTCTGGTATTGAGGATTCTTTGCAGGGGGGTGGGGTGCAAGTATCAGGAATCGAGCTCAGGACCTTGCACTTGCCAGGCAGGTGCTATGCTGCTAAGCTACATCCGCAGCCCTGGTCTTGAGGAGTTTTAAACCCTTACAGTCTGTCTTTCCCACTGCCACCAATGTCACCCATCAAAGGTGGATTTGTATGGAGCCACTACCAAGGACACTAGGGCACAAAGGAAATGCCCAGAGTAACAGAAAATAGAGGTGAGAAAAAGCCATAGTTCTTGCCCACACAATCCCCTAGTCTGATGGAGCATTCAGGTCACCTGAGAAAGCTGGCGCATGGCCATTATTGGAGAAAAACATCAATTTGTGTTATTGTTGTTGGATGGGGAATTGAACCCAGGATCTTTGCATTGATCTCCAAGGACAGCTTATTCTTTTTAATTTTTTGAGTTCAGGTCTTGCTAAGTTGCACAAGATGAATTCAAATTTGCAAGTCTCCTGTCTCAGCCTCCCAGAGTGCTGGCATTCCAGGCCTACACCACCACACCCAACCCAGCAGTGAGATTTTCTGCCTGAATTCATCATCCAAAATCTGTTGGCCCTGTTCAGTCAGTGCTATCGTGTTCCACGCTGCCTTTCCCATCAACTGGTTCCTAAGAGATGGGCACTGCACCAGCCAGGCGGTCTCAGACCAACCTGTGGCCTCACTGATGTCAGCCACTGGGCCGGTGCACTTGCAGAGCTTCACACCCACTCACACGCACACGCTGGCTGGCACTCTCAGGCACACTCAGGCCCTCAGCACCCTCCTACATCCAGCCACTGCACATCCAGTTCTCCTTCCTGGGCATTCCCTGAGGCCCTGTCCCTCCTCCCTCCTCCCATCTCACTTGCATGCCACCCCCATTACACATTTTGTTACACACAAACCCCTGCACAGGTTGAACCATTTTGTGGCTGCACAGTGCCTGTCTCCAAATGTACTGCGTGTTCCTGGTAAGGAGCTTTTGTGTGTCAGATGCACACAGCTCAGAGCTGAGTGCTTTAGAAAATACCTAGTGAGTGAAATGATTTCCTTAATCTGAAAGTATTGCCAAAAAATACTGCTTAAGAGCCTGTTTCATTTATAAGCTGTTTAAAAATTTGATTTGCTAATGAAGAGCAGTTTTGTTCAGTATCTCTGTTTTGTAACATAGTATTACTAATGACGTTTCGGAGAGTTTTGCCTTATTTTTTTTTAATAGCAAGGCTTAGAATAGCATTTAGCATTCTGATTTTTTTTATTGATGAATAAATAATTTGAAAATTGAAGAGGTTCCTCAGGCCAAAGTGTGACTACATAATTTATCTGTAGGGAGTAGCAATGTGTGCAGCAAGGAACTGATGTGTGAAAGTCATAAGTTTATGAAAATGTAAGAATATAAAGCTGATTGATGATTAACATCTCTGATGTGAGAAAAGAGTAACATAAATTTAAATGACTACAGGTAATCCAGAAACCCATTTTTATTATTGATTTTCAACTTTCTGATCCATTCTGGCAAAGCTAAAATGGTGCCTTGATTTTTATCTTCTTCCTTTCCCTTCTTACTCTAGTTGAGGTCATAACTATTAACGACAAAAAAAAAAAAGATGAAGGCATGCAGGTGGAAATAATTATATTAGTCAGATTTCCCATTGCTAGGACCCAATACCCACAGCTGAGAGGAGCAGAGGCTTCCTGGGGCTCGTTGTAAGGGTCGAGTTGCTGCGAAGAAAGACCCCAAGAGTCGGTCTCTCATGCAAATCACAAAGGGGAAGTTTTATTGTCTACCTATATGTAGGGTGGTCTGCACACGCAGGAGCAGAGCGCGCCTTCAGTGTAGCAGGCATAGTTTTTAAAGGCACAAACCACAAATTAGGGTGGGAGCAAGCAAGTTACAGAAGCAGATCGCATTGGTTAGTGTGGGCTGCCCTTTACAATAATTGGTGGATTACCATACCAGATGACCAAATGGAGTAAGTCCGGGGGTAGCTGGGGGGTCTAACCTTGTGGTTGTCATGTTCTGGAGACATCTTTAAGAAATCGGGGCACTGTGACGTGGGACATCCTGTTGTTATGGCCTTCAATAGTGAGGCCTTGGGTTTGGGAATGTATGTCTCTTGCAAGAATTTAAACAAGGGGAGGTCCAAGGACAACTTCTTGGCTAACTCAGTAGTGTCAGTTGTTTTCCAAGTAACGGGACCCCATCCAAGGTTTTCTTATGTCCTCTTTATCTTAAGGACATGGTTTGTCTAAGCTCTATAGCCACAAACTAGCGGATGGGCCCCCTTACTGAAAGACATTTTAATAATTTTTAACCTCATTTATGATCTTAAAATTGTTGGGCTTTACACATGTGTTGGCAGGGTCAGCCCAAGGTCAACTGGTACCAAGGCAAGAGCAACATGGTGGAAGGCGAGGAAAGGCGCTCACCGCTCACCGCAGTGCAGCCAGGAAGCTGCGAGGAAGGAGGGAGGGAGGGAGGCAGGGAGGCAGGGAGGCAGGGAGGCAGGCCGGCTGGCCCTCCCAAAACAAGCACATCCCGAAACTTGCCTCTTCCAGCTGGGCATCACTTCCTCACAGCACATGTAGCTAGGAATTCTTCAGTGAATGGATCAGTCCACTGAGGAGTATAGTGCCATCTTTTAAAAGCTTCATCTCTGAACACATGAGACTTAGGGGGGATGTTCTCAATCTATACTGTAAAAAAAAGGTAAAAGAGATAACCGAGGCCTTGAACAAGCCAGGTACTAACACTGCTACTTACTGGGCCTCTTTGCCATCGCATGCATACTGAGAATGAAAATTAATGCATAAGTTAGGCAAAGTAACAGATTAACAGTAATAACTAATAATAAAATAGAACAGTGATAAGGTTCTATAATAAAAATATTTTAACCTAGAAATTATTATAGAATGTTCCATTTAATAGATTTGGATATCACAGGCCATGCATAACTGAAACTGTGGAAAGGGAGGCTCTGGATCGGGGTTTGCATGGGGATGGTGGATGAGGTATCCTATTTTTTCTCTCAACTCCCTGCACAGGATGTGAGAACTCAGAAAGAGGGTTTCTCCAATAAAGTGTAACTCTGTGAGAATGCCACTTAGGACTTCTCATTAAGGAAGACTCTTTATTCTGTTGGTCAGGTGGAAAAGTTTGGAAAGGCTTTGAACTACGCGGAGGCAGCCTTGTCATTTATCGAGTGTGGAAATGCGATGGAGCGAGGCCCGATGGAGTCCAAATCGCCTTACACCATGTACTCCGAGACAGTGGAGCTCATCAGGTGAGCCGGGCGTCCCTGCTCGGGCTGGGTGGGGCAGGCCTGTGTGGAAGCAGCATGCACGCAAAGCTCAGCGTGCACCAGCAGCCGCTGGGAACTAGCATCTCTCTCCCCACCACCCCCACCCCTGAAAATAAGAATGGAAGACTTTACAGCCTTCACACACTTTGGGAGACAGCCCACTCAGGGCTCTTGACCCAGAACCCAGCCAGGAAGTGGTGGGAGTTGAACTCACTTTACCTCAAAAATGCTTTTAAAAAGAAACAAATTCAGTTAAAAAAAAAAAAAAAAAAAAAAGCAAGCTTTAACAGCAACAAAATGAAATCTAAAAAAATAAATAAATACCTGCTTTTAAATGGGCCAAAACAGACATTTCTCTAAAGAAGTCATACAAATGACCAGCAGAAACACACACACACAAAAAAAATGCTCAGTGTCACTAACCATCAGAGAAATGCAAATCAGAGGCACGATGAGATGGCCCGTCACCCAGTAAGAGCGCAAGAAGAAAAGAGAACAGTGGTGCAGTGTCAGTGGGAATGTAAATTAGCACAGCGACAATGGAAGAAGCTATCGCGGCTTCTCAGAACATTCAAGTCAGAACCACTGTGAGACCCAGCAGTCCCATCACTGGGAGTAGTCACAATAGCCAAAAAGGGGAAATGATGTAAGTGCTCACTGACTGATGATTAGATAAAGAAAAGTCAGTCCGAATATACAATGGAATATTATTCAGCCATAAAAAAGAATGAAATCTTTGGCAGCTATGTGGATAGAACTGGAGATTATTAAAAGTGAGATGAGCCAGGCACAGAAAAACTAGTCCTGCATAATCTCACGCATATGCATAATATAAGAAAGCTGATTTCATCAACATTTACAGCAAAACAGTGGTTACCAGAGAACAAGATACTAGAAGGGAAGGAAGGACACAGAAAGAAGAAAAACCTAGTCAGAGTAGTGTGTAATAGTTCTCCATTTTCCTTTCTGAGACCCCAGCAGATGCCTGAAACCACAAATAATGCCAAATCCTAGACACATTGTTGTTCTTTAGGGCTTGGGTGCACATCCATAGCTGTTACTTTATAAATTAGGCACAGGGCTTGGGGTATAGCTCAGGGGTAGAGCGCTTGTCTAGCATACTTGAGGCCCTCTGTTAGATCCCAGCACCACCTAGAAATAAAAGAAGAGTCTCTTAAGAGAATAACAACAAAAAAGTATAGCAACCATGATGACATACCAAAATCAAGGCATGTGAATCCAGTGCCCCTTTCTTGCAAGAGTCAAGAAAAGTGGTGGCCGTAGAGCAGGACAGCTATCGATGACTGGCTCTTGGGATATGGAGGCGCCACTATAACCTGAAACTACCTCTGTCATCAGTGACCATAGAGCCATCCTTTTATGTGCTGGCACAGACAGAGCCCGGGTGCTCTGATCTGAACCCTGAACTCGAGATCCCCCGCCCACCAGGCTGAGACCCATGGTCCCATCTGGCCAGGGTTTCCACAGGGCCTGAGTGTGCCCAGAGGGAGATGCTGCTCGTCCACGTTAGACCCCTGGAAAGACACAGCCTTCGTTTCTGTCCAGCACGCCAGCAAGGAAGTTTCATCTGTTAGCCCTGCTGAGATCCTTTGTAATATTGTTCATGATTCTAGCCAGTTTAAGTGTGTGGAATAATAATGTGTAACACCCACTGGGTGAAATATTCTTCCTAAGGCTCACATTAAGAGATTTTTTTGGGGGCCGGGGAGATGGCTCAGTAGACTAAGCGCTTCCCTGGTAAGCGTAAGGGCCTGAGTTCAATCCCCTGTTCCGCCAAAAAAAAGAAAAAAAAAGAGAGATTTTTTTTTTTTTTTTTTGGACAGGATATCTGGTCTGCATCATGTACTATGGATAACCAATAAGATAACAATGTACAATGTATGAATTATTGAAACTATCCTATTAATCAGTTGTGAAACTGTCTCATTGCTATTTGTTTCTCAAAAAAATTAAAAAAGAAACAAAAAGAGATTTTTTTTTAAATTTTGAAATTCTTTACAATCTAATGCTGTTTTTTGTTTTGTTTTGTTTTGTTTTTTTACTGTGTCCCCATCATTCCATACATAAGACCTGATCATCTTGGTCCCTCCAGTCCATATTGGCCCAAAGAGGCTGCATGGTACTTTTTCCCACAGTCCCTCAATCTACACATGGTTTCAGGCCTTTGGAACTCCTTCCCAGCGTCAGAGACTTTCACACAACACTTCTCAAGGAGACTTGGAGAGTTGACTCTGCCTAACCACTTTTCACATCAAAAATACTTCCACAGTGGCTGGCCGGCAAAATAGCTCAGGGGTCTGAAGGGCCTGCTTAGGCAAGTTTAGGCAGCCCCAGGGGACAGAGGTTCAATCCCCGGCACCACATGCCAGCCCCACCCTTGGGGTGGGCTGAAGTGGCAAAAAAAAAAAAAAGAAAGAAAACTTCCAATAAATCAGTCTATTGGTGATTTTGTCACACTGTCTTCTCATATGGAATAATATTTTCAGGGGCAAAGAAAACAGTAAAAATCTGGTGCAAAGCAAGAAAATAACCTAGAATGTGACTGTGTTGAGCGCAGGGCTTTTGTTGCTCTCTCTGATGTTTTCCTGGATGCTGGTAGAAAGGAGAACAGAGTGGCTGATGCTTGAGCAGTGGGCAGGTAAACAAGCCGGGGGCCTGCCGGGAGCTAAGCAGCATTGCTTACATACAGGCATTCACAATTCTAAAAGAACAAACAAATCCTAATCAGCAATAAAAAGCCAGATGTCAGCAGATGCCCCTGGGGTGCAGGTGAGCTCCCCCAAGTAGACAACTCGGAATGAATGGCCTCCTGTGAGGTACCCAGGAAACTAAATCAAAAAGAGGTTTGGTTTGTTGTTTTGTTTTGTTTTGTTTTTTTACCTGAGTTGGAAATGGCATTAGAGGAGGTGACTTAGTTACTAAGACGGAATGCATATTGGCAAGAGAAGCTTGGGAACATTCTCCCTAAGGAAAGAGGTGCACAAGGTGGTACTACGCGCATGACCCAACTTGACTGGCATTCAGGGTGTGCTGTGCGCATACAAAAACACCAGCCTGCACTCCAGAAATGAGTGAATGGTCAGTGAGAAGAAAAAAATAAAAGTCGTGTGTTTATGGATTTATTGTAAGTAGTGCTAATTAATCTAACTTGTAACTCTACACCTTAATGGCTGAGCCTGACTCTCCTCTGACCCCGTGGAGGGACCCCAGGGCCAGGAGCATTGGCACCGAGGATCTCAAAAGGAGAGAACTCCTTCCACTTGGGGACCCCAGAGGGCAAATGGCTGCAGCTTCCACAGAGTTCCCCCTGGGACTCTGCCCTGCCGCCCCCACCTCACCTCGGAGCACTACCAGAGGCCAGCACAGCTCCAGCCCCACCCCACCCGCATCCACTGAGTAGACTCTCCAGCCAGAAGAGCTCTGAAAATTAAATTGCAATTGGAGTTACAGCCCCAAAATTAGGCTACCACATGCCTACTACCCCTAAGCAGAGTGACTGTCTGCTACAAATAAGAGGTCAAAATAGGACCCAGAGGCCACTAATGTAAGAGCTAAAATGTCCAGGCTTCAGGAGACCCCCCACACACACATCCACCAAGAACCAGGAAACACCTGGAATGAAAAAGGTGGTGAACAGACCCCAGTTCCAAGATGAATCAGCCCTTGCAACTATGTGACAAGGATTTTTAAGCACCTCCCATTAAATGCTAAAAACATGTACAATTTTATGGCAACAAATGACCAAAGAAAACTATCTCATGAACTCAAAGAGATACATATAAAACTGGGATGATAGAGCTGAAAAGTGTGGTAACAGAAACAAACAAAAATCTCCGGCAGGGCTCAACAGAACCCTAGGAGGTGACAGAAGACACCTAGTCTACTAGGGGACAGAAGGTAGAATTTACCTCATCTGAGATGGAATAGACTTCTTAAAATATGAGTAAAGGCTCAAGCACTAGCTAACTTTTAATTTCTTCTGTTTGAACACAATGCCGTGGGGACTGGGTCGATGATCCCAGTGGCAGCTTATTCGGCTCACAGTTTCCAGGCGGAGACATTGGAGGACAGGGTCCTGGCGTCTGGCCAGACCAGGCAGCACAGGGGAGACAGAGGAGACTGGTTCAGACTCAGCCTCTTCTCTCAGGATCCAGCCCTGCAGTGAGTGACTCGCTGGAGAGAAAGCAGCATTCATCTGTGCCCAAGGGCTGTGCTCTGTCTCAGGCCTGCGCCTCCAAATACTGTTCCATTGGGGATTAAGTTTTCCACACTTGACTCTGGGGGTCCTGTGCAAGCCACAGCAAACACCGCAACAAAAGATACTGCAAGAGACCAGACAGGAGGAGAAGGACTGACAGACTGAGGAAGTGCTTGAAGTGATGGTTGGAGCCTGCCAAGTGTATCCAAGAACATTAGCCTATGAATCAAGAAGCTGAGAAAGGCCCAGAGCAGATGACTGCAAAGAAATGAAGGGTGAGACATGTCTTAATTATGCTTCTGGAAACAGAGGACAGAGAAACACTCCTGAAGGCAGCCAGAGAGCAGGGATGCATTTCTTGCTGCAGGCTGGGACACAACACTTTCCAAAGACTGGAAATACAAACTGTCAAGGAGTATCGAACTCAGGACCTCATGCTTGTCAGGCAGGAACTTGTGCTACTGAGCTGGATCCCCAGGCCTGAGCAGCATATTTGCACTGTTCTTCAAGAATGAGGGAGAAAAAGAAAGAGGGAAATGAAGACATTCTCAGAATAAGGTGAAATAGAGTCTGTCGCTAATACAACCACCCTCCCTCCCACCCCGCTGCTTAAAAGACTGGTGAAAGGAATTTTCCCAACAGCAAAAAAATGACAAGAAGAGATCTGGGAGCGTAAGAAAAAGAAAGAACAAAAAGGTGCCCACAGTAAACTACCCCTCTTCCTGAGTTTTCTAAATCCTGTTTGATAATTGAAACAAAAATTAGGCCAGTGCCGGCCCTGCCCCCAGGGTGCACTGAGATAGCAGTTGAGACTGGGCATGGTAGAGCATGCCTGAAATCCCAGTTCTTTGGAGGCTGTAAACAGGCAAATCACTACAAGTCCCATCTACTAGTGAGACCCTGAACATCCTGTAGACCCTTCCCAAAAATACCAAAAAAAAAACCAAAAAAACAAAATGAGGCCAGCATCTGATAGTCAAGGTGATGGTATTTCAAAGTGGGGAAGGTAAAGGCTTCCGCAGTTCGCTCTGGGTGGTAAAATGTTGCTGAGAATAAATTATGCCAAGTTACATTACGTATATTGTAACTCACAGAGCAACCACTATGAAAACTGCAGAGAGGCACCCAGAAACCTGCAGATCTGGAGATGATGTCATGACAACCACATTGTTTCTTGAGCAGTGTGCAGCGAGCCAGCCTGCTCTGCCAAGAGCTTTTCTGAACTCTGTAGATTAATCCCAACCACATTATGTGATCACTGTATCCATCCTGTTTCCTAGATAAGGAAATGAAGGCTTTGAAATGCTCACACCTTTGTCTAAAGTCTTCCACCTAGCACATGGCTAAGCTGGGTTTGAACCTAGGACCCTCTGCCATTGCACACCCGGCCTCAGCTCGTTCATTGTGCACAGGTGACCAGGTGTGCTAGCAAGAGGGAGAGCAACAGCCACAGTCCCACAAGACAGGGAAGCAAGCAAAATTATATGCAGTCCATGAAAAGCACCCCTGTCCTACCACACACCTTTGCAGGTGCAAAGAGCCATTCAGTGCACCCACGCCCCTTATCCTGCCAGCAGAGTAGCGCTTGCATGGCAGAGGGTAAATGAAGCATCCGTGTGAACACAGGGCTGAAAATTCTCCTGGAGATCAGCCCCAAAGGACAGGGCTTTGGCTCCATCTGTCAGCCATTTGGCCATAAATCAAAACTTGGGAAAATGGACACTTTGCCGTATGGTGAACCATTCTTGAGCCGGTGTCCCGTCCACCAATCCACAGCACTGGGACACGCGCTGTGGAACAGCAGAGCTTCAAGGCTTTGTTTCTTATCCTCATCGCTGTAATGCAGTACTGGGGAAAGTGAAACAATACCAGCTAGCTTGTAAGAAAGAATTCAGCAGCAGCACTATGAGAATCCACTTGGTGAAACACTATGGGATCCAAGGTTTGCTGTGGACAGGAATGCATTTCTTTAAATCATGCTTTTGATTGCCTGTTTTTATTTCTAGGTATGCTATGAGACTAAAAACCCACTCAGGCCCCAATGCCACTCCAGAGGACAAACAGCTAGCCGCGTTATGGTGAGTGTGTCACCGCCAGTGAGGAGCGTGCCCCAGCCCCACATGTCACCACTGGCAAGTTCTTCTAGCACCTTCCGTCTTACAAGACCCGATGATTCTGACACCCAGGGGCAATCTAGGCCATTTCCTTTTTTATTTATTTGTTTGTTTGTTTGTTTTTACTTTTTAGTACTAGGGATTGAACTCAGGGCCTTCACACTGAGCCGCATGCCCAGATCTTTTCTGATTTCATAACACAAGGCCTCACTAAGTTGCCAGGGATGGGCTCAAATTTTTCATCCTCCTGCCTCAGCCCCCAGAGTGCTGGGATTACAGGCACATGCCATCTGGCCCTGCTGAACTATTTCTTGGTGTTTTACCATGCATGAACTGAAGTTCCATAGGTCCATTACAGAACAGCATTTTTTTTTCTATGCACATGCCTGTGTTCTAAAGTCAGGAGGGTTCCTGTAATGGTCATTTAAATGTGCATTGTGCCCAGTGGAATTTCTCTTGTGTTTAACACTAACTGCAATCAAAATAATTTATGTGTTGCTTTACATGTGAGATGAGTGCGAATGAATGAAGATGATGCATCAAAGTTCTCAGTGCACTAAACTGAGGACCAGCTCGTTATGCTTTGATGATAAAATCATTTCTCCCAAAATGTTAGCCAATGGGTCATAGATTTTTTTTTTTGTACTTACCATGATAAAGAGTCTGAGCTTTAATAAAAATAATTTCCCCATGGCATCTCCTTGCGACATAGCACTGCACTACCCAGAACAACTCTTTGTTGCTTCCTCCTGTCAAAAGACCCAGAATTTTTTTTGGTCTCCAAAGGATCATTACACCCCACAATCTAACCTGCCAGTTAGACAATCAGGTGGAGTCTCGGAAAACACAGCAACAGTGCAGACAAAAGAAGGTCTCAGGTGGCTCTACACTGTGACCTCACCTGGCGTTTGGAGCATTATGCAGAGACTGTTCGGCTGTGTCGGTTGGTTAGTATTCTCAGGAGGCAGCCTCAGTCTAAATTAGCAAATAATTATGAGTAAAGAATGCCAATGAGGAGAGCATAAATCTCAGGAAACGCCACCCTGTGCCCTTGTCTTTATTGAAGTTCAATATTGGAATTAATAAATGAATGATTAATAATGAATATTACCATATTAAATAGAATACTAATATGTAAATGGATATTAAAATATAGAAAATAATCAAATGAAAACTACCCTTGGCATGTTTGTAATGCACACTCACCAGCTCTTACTGTATTGGAATTAATAAACCAGTAAAGTGTTAGGAAGGGAGGCACCCTTTCCCAAAGTAGGTGGTTCATCTAGGGAGCAGTAAAAGTTGGGTGTTGGGGGGGTCTCCTAGTGCCTCTTGTGGAGAGAGGCTGCCCTCTGGTGTTCGCAGAAGAAAACGGCCGCACTCCCCAACAAAGAAGTGCTAACAATGAAGGATATAATGGTAAACACAGTTTTGGAGCAGCTCCTTGGAAGTTTCGGTTGTACTTTTTGGACAGAAAGAAGGTCAGATGCTCATAGATGTGCATGCATGTGAAACACCTGAGATACATGAACGTGGACCCTCAAGGGATGTGTTGTTCTAAAGCTGCACTTGTGAAGCACACGCTCATGCTTCCCCTCCTTTCTCCTCTGTCACAGTTACCGTTGCCTGGCTCTCCTGTACTGGCGGATGTTCCGACTGAAAAGGGACCACGCCGTAAAGTACTCAAAAGCACTGATCGACTATTTCAAGGTATTGTCTGGCAAAGGGGTGACATGGTAGAGCCTGCTGCATCAGGGCTAATACAGGTCACCTCCAGAACAACCCACGGGTGGCACCCCTGTAGCTTCTGGGGCCATGAGAAAGGGTCCCGCGAGCCCAGCTCACTGATCCCCTGACTTCCTGTCCAAGTATTTTTATGGACTCCAGAGAAAGAATATCTAGTTACTCCTCCCAGTATCCAAGGAGATTCATCTTTATAGCAAGACATAACTTCCTCATGTCCACATAGAGCTGCTTTCTCTTAGAAATTCCTACTAAGAACCATTTCCACAGAGTCTCTAGTAGTTACTTTAATTGTTAACAGAGGTGTTGTTTAAAATGGCAAGAAATGGCTCATTAGGGCTCAGAGATACCAGCTAACAACATGTAACTAGAAAGATGCAGGCATAGCTATGGCAGCTTTTACTCGTTGCAGGGAATGAAATTGTTTTCCCTGGAAGTATTTTAAAAGGCAAAAAGAGAAAGTCCTTCTTCCAATGTACTATTATAAAGCAGACTTGAAATTTAATCATTTGTTTGACATTTTGGGGCCTCTGTTTCTGTACAGAAACAAGAAGCTGTACCATCTGTGTCTTCACCACTCACAGCCATCATCAGAGGTCTTTTGTCCTCAGGCTGCGCGTAGTAGAGAGGACTTCCAATGGCCAGGCTGTGTTGCGGAGCCTGGGGCTACACCAGCCTGCTACCTCCTTCCCAGTAGTGCATGTAGGGTAACAGGTGCTGGGACCAAGGGAGAGCCGTCATGGCCCGTTGGCCAGCACATGTCTGAAGTATCAGCGAGTGGCATGGAACCCTCCCTTTTCATATTTTGAGCAACTAAAGTCAAGATTAGTAGAGAATCTTAAGAGTTGGTACTAAAGAGTTACTAGAGAGCTTGAATCCAGAAGGGTACTCGGGACTGAATGTGTGTAGCTCAGTGGACGAGTACTTGTCTGGCACCAGCAAGGTCCTGGGTTTGATCCCTGACAACACAAGAAAAGGAAAAGAAAAGGAAGCTAGATTGCATGAGGTCAAGGAACTGCAGCAAAAATTTAAGTCATGAAAGACATTCTCGGGCTGGAGAGATGGCTCAGTGGTCTAAAGCACCTACTTGGAACTAGCTTGGCAAAGCATCAGGGACCGCGGTTCAATCCCCCAGCACCACATGCCAGCCAGCCCCGCCCCCTGGTGGGCTGAGCTGGCCACACACACACACCACACTCTCTCTCTCTCTCTCTCTCTCTCTCTCTCTCTCTCAAATAAATAAATAAATAAATAAAAACATTTAAAAAAAGAAAGACATTCTCATTGTATACATACAGTCGGTAATCCATCCAGATTGGGTAGAAAAATTTGAAAATCAATTTCTTCTGAAAAGTTATTGACATATACCCTCTATCAAGTTTATATTTTAAATGTATCTTAATAGATCAAGGACAAATTGTGTATATTTATGGTATATAATCTGATATCTTGATATGTGATTACATCGTAGAGTGATTAAATCAAGCTAATGAACGTTTCCGGCACCCACATACTCATCATTTTTGTGATGGGAACACTTAAAACGTACTCTCTTAGTGATTTTCAAGTATACTTTATGTTACTCTTAATTATAGTTCCCATTCTGTGTGATTAATCTGGGGAACGCATTCCTTCTACCTGCAACTTTGTGTCCTCTAGATGCCTCTTGTTAGGTATGACAGACGTGTCAGAGTTTGCATGAGCCAGCCTCAAACACTGAAGCCTTCTGGCTCCCATGACAGTTTGGCTGTGGAAAATGTCTTAGCAGTGTGCTGCCATCTCTAAGAGGGGGACTGTGGCTGCCCAGGTGTCTGTCCATTGGGCTACTGCTGACCCCTAAAACTTCTCTCCCCTTTGTGTTTTTACATCTGGAACGTCTCTTACATAGACCACTTCTTAGAACCTCGTAGCAGGTGGAAAACAGTGAAACATCTCATAGTCCCCAGTTGAGAATGGAACTATGAGTGGCAGTAACTTTCTGGGCTTCTCTTTTTCTAGTTCTCTCCATTAAAATAACGTCATTGCCTAAGACAGGTAAAAGTGACACAGCTTGCGGTTCTACCCTGAGCTCACGCCTCGATGTCCTGCCTGTGAGTCCTGACAGGCCACTTTGTTTTGCCGTTTTGTTACCTCTTGCACTAAAACTAAATAATTTGGTCACCACTCTTAAAATTCCTTGTAACCAAAATATATAGGCTGTGTCAGGAAACCAGGCCAAGGCCGTTTCTTGTCTCTGGAAGGGCACATTCACAAGTGTATCACCAAGACCTATCTTCCCACTTAACCATGCTGTGGACTTGCTGCAAACATCTTCCAGTCCTTGCTTTGTCTCATTTGTGTTTCCGGGGGTCAAGCCCGAGGCCTTGCACGTGCTAGGCAAACACTCAGTCACTGAGCTATATCCAAACCCAGAAAACTTGCAAATGCTGGTGCAAGCGCCTGGCCTGTGCAGCGGAGCACTCCAAGCCAAACTCCCCAAATAAATCAGAATTTTTGAATGTCCTGTGTTAAGTAAATATATTTTCACCTATCTTTTTAGGAATACTTGAGTGATTTTCTTTCAAATAAAAAAAAATGCTTTAAACCTCGAAAGTTAAAACAATAGAATTTGACAACATATTTTCAGGCGTTAAATAAAGGCATATTGGCAAATAGCCCCTAAATTGAAATAAAAAGTATTCTTGGTGTGTAGGGCATGGGTAGTTCCTGTCCTTTCTTTCCTGTTTGGAAAAGTACACTAATTTACAAGTTTAAAATCAGACTAGTTTAGGATTCAGCAGGATTACAGGATTATAATTTAATTTGGTACCTAAAATATGTGCATCAGAACCAGAAGCAAGCCCTTAAGTCCCCACTGAGGGACCACTCTGATAGCCCCAGGACACTGTACTTGTCCTGACCCACTTTCTGTGCCTCTGCAAGCGGCCAGCACTCACTGTGCCTGTGTCTGTTTCCCTGCAGAACTCGTCCAAGGCTGCCCAGGCCCCGTCTCCCTGGGGGGCCAGCGGAAAGTAAGTTCACCCCAACCCCCACCCCATGCATGACGCCTCCCTGCAGGGCCGCCTGGCCTCACCCGGTCCCGACCTCTCCACTTTGGTTTTTCTGCCTCTCGCCTTCCAGGAGCACTGGAACCCCATCCCCCATGTCTCCCAACCCCTCTCCCACCAGCTCCGTGGGGTCTCAGGGCAGCCTATCCAGTGCCAGTGCCCTGTCCCCGTCCACCATCGTGAGCATCCCACAGCGCATCCACCAGATGGCGGCCAACCACGTCAGCATCACCAACAGCATCCTCCACAGCTATGACTACTGGGAGATGGCCGACAGCCTAGCCAAGGAAAACAGAGGTATGTTGCCACCCCTGGAACCAAGGACCCACCCAGGCCCAGGGACAGCCTGGCTCGGGTACCACTGGTCCAGTTTCCATGGTCTGCGGGGGGGGGGGGGAGCTATCACCTGCTGTGTGAGTTCTTTCCTGACCTCTCCTGTAGTCACCAGGCCTTGTGTGCCTTCTCCTGCCTTAGCATTGAGGGTCATGGGAAGGGCAATTAGATGTAGATACAGTGCATGGTTAGGAGTAGGCCCAGACGCAGGTGTGGGGACAGATGCAGGCTAGGTGCGTTTATAGATGCAGGTACAGGTAACAGGTGTACTCACAGGCACAGATGTCTGTAGAGATTCAGGCATGGATGTGTGTGCGTGTGTGTAGGTGTAGTTATGGTGATAGGTGCACATACAGGAATAGGTACGTGCACAGGTGTAGGTGCAGTGCCAGGAGGAGGCAGAGTGGCAGTGTATGTACAGGTATAGTTACAGAGTAGGGACGTATAGACAGGTGCAGGTAAATGCAGGGATAGGTACAGATGTGGGTGTGCTACAGGTCAAGCTATAGATCCAGATGCGGGAATAGATGTACTTCTGGAAGGTCCAGATTCCATTTCATTCAGCATTTACTAGCACTTAGCCCAAGGGCTAAGAAGACAGTTAGGACTCTAAAATATCAGAGGAAGGGAGACAAGGTCAGCTGCATACAGCTTCAAAGGGTATTCTACAGATAGAGCTGTATTTCCTTTTAAATAATATTTTCTTCTAATAAGAGTAGTCTATGTTTGCTGTGGCTAAATTTGTGAAGTACAGAGACTATAGAGGAAAGTCACCAATAATCTTGCCAAGAAATAACTGCAGTGGCCATACTAGCAATGCCCCTTCTAGCCTTTTTTCTTTAATTCTGCATCATTTTTACCAAACTAAGGTTATAATGGATATAGTTGTATATACTATTTTGTATTTAGCATTCTAACAAGCATTTTCTTATGTCATTGATTAGTCCAGAAATATTCCTCATAGTGGTCCTATTGCGGTATCCTAGCACAATGGTTATGCAAACACGAAGTATGATTTCTCAAGCAATTCCTCCTTGCTAGACATTTAGGTTACTTCCTATTTTTTTCCACCATGGCTGCCACTGTATCTTTTTTTTTCGGTACTGGGGATTGAATTCAGGACCTTGAGCTTGCCAGGCAGGCGCTTATGCCCTTGAGCTACCTCCCCAGCCCTGTGAGTATCCTTGTATAAGTCTTCCTCCATATTTTGGTTATTTTCTTAGGAAGGAGAGGTAGAAGTAGAATTTTGGGATCCATAAATAGAGATTTTTTTTTCAGCTATAGTTATATATTTTGCTACCTATTGCTGTCTTTTCTCCTAAAAAAAATTGTATCAAAATACTACTTTCCCTCCAGCAGCAGGTAAGAGTGCAGATCTGGACTCACTGTCAGGTCATAGATGAAAATTACGCTCCTGTGACAGCATAAACCTTCTAGACAAAAGCAAGGTATCCACACTGTGAGAGGGTGGGTGGCACGCAGTCCTGAGTGAGGGAATTTGTCAATATAACAAGACAGTGCATAGTGTGCAGCCTACAGGTGGTACCCCTGAGAGTCCCATGGGAATGTCACAGAGGTCCAGAGACACCAAAGCTTACATGGAACAGAGTTTGGAAAAGCACCTGGAAGTTATGTGGCTGAAGGGCCATATAGGTCTGTGCCTCAGGTGGGCAAATATATAGAAATATGTGTCCAGCTTGCAAGACCCGGAGCAAGCCAGGCTTCGTGTGGAGCTGCCCATCACCTGCTAGGGCCCAGAGGTGCAGGGTTGGCTGCCCTGTGTCACGTGGGAGCTCAGCTTTGCTCCCTCGGCTCAACCTGCTTCTCCTCCAGTGTTCTGCACCTGAAGTCCTCTTTCCAGCAATGTGTGTCTTCCCTGACCCTTCCCTTCATTCCCTGCCAGGACTTCAGGGTGTGTGTGAGCACTGAGGGGAAACCAGTCTCAGATCGACTTCCATGAAGTGCTCCTTAGTGACCCAACTGTGAGAGCAGAGTGCTGTGTGAGCATATTTGTCTCATCCACCACTAAGCTGGGGTGCAAAGACAGCAAAGCTCCCACATGACCATCTTGGCTCCCCCCCCCCTTATGGCTACCGTTGGCACCCAGGAGAGTCCTGGGTACGTAATAAATGTTCAAGGAAAGAGCAAACCCAGAGAATGCCCTGAAGGCCACCTGGTGACCCCAGCAGAGATTTCTCAGCATGCATCCGATTGTCTCCTCGCATCCTAGACCCTCACTCAGAGCATTGCCACCGTTGACTCCAGAGTGAGGGGTGACAGAGCCACACTGACCGGCAGAGCTGACACTATTCCTGCACTGGGAAAGTACAGCCAGAGCATATGAATTTCCTTTGCTATTTGGCTACATGGAAATTATCCACGTGAGTTAGAAATGGCAGATACGGCTGACTCCTCCATTCATTTATTTACCTGGATGTAGGATGAGTTCCCTCCCCTTATATTTTATTTCATTCAAGGGTATGCTAAAGTCACAAGGGAATGGAGGATTCTTGTTTCATACACAGGCTATGGATGGAATTCTCTCTGAGATCACCCGGTTCCCACGTTCAGCGTAGCACTCATAACAACTCTCTCTATCTCCTAGAATTCTTCAACGACCTGGATTTGCTCATGGGGCCCGTCACCCTGCACAGCAGCATGGAGCACCTGGTCCAGTACTCCCAGCAGGGTCTGCACTGGCTGCGGAACAGCGCACACCTGTCGTAGGGCCCTCCCCTCGGGCCAGCTGTGCTCTTGTCTGCACGGACCGCTCCAAGTTTCTGGACATTGTGCTACTGAAAGTCCCAGCCACAGCATTTATCAGACTGCGGTGAACATTTCCTCGGCCTCAAACAATGACCTTTTACCAGGGCATGTGTGCTTGTATGTGTGGGTATATACGAAGCTGCCTCCTCTGTGTGTGTGTGTGTGTGTGTGTGTGTGTGTGTGTGTGTGTGGAACATACACAGCTCTTTGGGACACTGTCTAGTTTCCATAACCCCAGGCTAGACAAAGTGATCAGAGGTTCCTGATTAGAGGAAATACACACATGCACACATACACACATGTTCACAGACACATGCTCTCCATTTCAATGCAAAACCGTGACTTCTTAGAAAAATTCAACCAAAATCTCATAGGTTAGTTAACCAGGTGCAATCCAGCACATCGAAAGCTTAACTGCCAGTTAAGATGAACCTAGCTCGGATATTATTGATTACTTTCAGTATTAATATACTAGTCCCTAATCCTTTTTTATCAGTGTGTATTAATGGCTAATTGAATCATGAAAGCAAGTCACTTATTTTTGTGCCAGAAGTTTATTAGGTTGCATGCTACCGAATACCCTGCCCCTCCCTGTACACTCTCGCCTCTCCCGACATTATCAGTTAAACACATTCCAAGTGGGTGGTTTGATTCCCTCAAAGCCCTCCTTGCCCACCTCAAACTGTATGAAAATGACACCCGGATTTGGTGAAAACTCGATGTCCTTGAAGTGTAACCCACATGAAAGCGTCCATGACAGTCATTTCACAGCTCAATTTGGAATCAGCGTCTGTACCCACGACAGGTTCTCCAAGGCCAAGCAGTTCCTCCTCTTGCCACTGTGACCCAGTGGCTGTAGAGTCCCATAGCTTCTTGTGTCAGCCAATGTTTCAAGTCTTTTCCTTTCCATGGTAGCTTCCTTTCCAACCTTCTTCATGGCCAAACGAGGACATTACCTAGAGCGTCTGTCTGCTAGGAGCCCAGCCGCTGCTCTCAGGCTGAGGGCTGCGTGTGATCGCCGGGCTGTTGGGCTCACGCTTTTGCCAGAATGTGCCTCTGCAGGCCTGGGGGGCGGTATGACTTGGAGGACACTTTTCGAGCTTTGATTAGCGAGCTGCTTACAGCGCAGGGAAGTTATCACTGTGAGGGCCGCTGTCCTGCTTTCAGGAGCAAGGACCAGAACATCTCGCTTATTATATCTTTCACATCTGGTATGTTTACGTCTTACCATGGGTCCTTTTGTTTCTTTTTTTTTTTTTTAAGTTTACATTTTAGTTTTTGATCTCTTGTTTACAATTTTTGTCTGAACCTTATTTTATGGCCTAGAGTTAGTCTTCTTGTGAAGTATATTTTGATATGAAATACTGGTAAAAAAAAAGCTCTTCCAGGAGAGTTTATATCTTGCCATATTTTGAAAACAAAAATAATATCTTTGAGTAACTTGACAGAATTATACTGGATCAGTCTGAGATGGGTGAGGCAGCCTCTGGTAATGGTGGCACAGCCGATGTTTGATAGATGCTAATGTCTTCACTGATCTCATGGGCTGGGCTGCAACGTTAGCATGTTTGTCAGCCTGACCCATCGGAGGGAGGGAAAGAAGACTGTTGTTATTCCTGAGCTCCAAGTATTGCTTCAAAAATGTGCAAAAGATCAAACAACTTTGGTGCTTTGAAATTGGTTGGCAATGAGCAAGTGAAATTTGCATTTAGCTTTGACCTTTAGGTACTTGAAAATATGAAGAGTACAAGCTGGGTATCTCTTACCCAAACTACTTGGAACCAGAAATATTTTAGATTTCACATTTCATATGTATGTGATGAGATATCCTGGGTTGAGACCCAAGCCTAAACATGAAGTTCCTTTATGTTTCTAATACACCTTTTATACACATAGTCCAAGGCAATGGTGTCAAACCTAATGCACAAGTGCTGCGGCCGGCTGTTTGTTATCACTGAAAGCTCTAAAAGGTTCATCAACACTGGTTTAAGGTGATAAATCTTATGCAGCACTTTCAGTGCACCAATATTTTAACTGTGACAGTCACATGTAGTCAGGTATAGAATTTGCCATTTACAGAGTCATATTGATGTTCAGGACATTTTAAATTATGGAGCACTTTGGAGTTTGTATTCTTAGGTTAGGGGTGCTCAGCCTGGGTTTCCATTTCATATTTATCCACAAGTGGCTTCTTATATCCCTGTCACTAATTCTTGGCAGTTTACCATCTCATCCTATGTTAGAATTCTGAACCCAACTTAAAAAATTTTGAAACCTTTTTGTGTGTAGGACTGAGCTTTTGTTCTTACTGGTGATTCTCGTGAAAAGTTCAAACTGTTGCATAAAGGTATGACCCCTGGGGTCTGCCCTGCCTTCCCAGGGAGCTTTCTTGGTCTTGCCCATCTTTAAAGCTGCAAGCCTTAGAAAGCACCTGCAGCAGCCCCATCTCGCGGTGCACATGGCCTCTGGCTAGTTGTGGTGGCATTGTTTTACTAACACTCTGACCACTGTGTTTCCCAACAAAACCTCTAGAAGCTGGTCATGGGGGGTGTCGGTGAGAGCGTGCAGGCCTAGCAGTGTCCCCTTCCATCTGTAGAGCATGTCGGGGCAGCAGTTTCTGCTTGGTGTAGATGATTTTGGTAAGGAATCATCATCTGATGGTTGCTTGTGAAAGTCATTCATAATTTGTTCCTTTTTTTTAAAATTTGGTTCCAAGTTGAAACATTGTTCTTGTGATTTCAGATTATAAAAGTGACACTTGTTCGTTATAAAAATTCAAACAATGCCGAAGTGTAGAAAGTAGGAAGTGTATGTCGGAATGTCTGAAACAGCCACAGCTCACAGTTTGATGTATGTCCTTCCAGAGATTCTTGCATTTAAACATGTAATATTTACTACCATTTCTTTATATTGGAAGGCATATTCTCTCCTCAGAAGCTCAGCACAAGTTCAACTCACCTTATCTGTCATGACCTGAATGGAAACCATTCTTTATCACTTTGCTAGAATTATCTTTTGAAAGAGAGTAGCTCAAATATATTCCTGATCAGACTTTGGCATCATCATGACTCTACGCAGATCAGACTCATGTGCAGAATTGTGCCTGGAGAGAGGTCTGGTTGAAGCAGATACTTCTGGAAACTTTCAAATTGCAAATGGAAACTCGGACCCACTATCTAAAGAGGAATGTACTGGAAAAGTAATCTAAAGAGTTGACAAATTGTGTACTAGATTGAACCATGGAATGCAATGCAATGAGACTTTCTGCACTAAAACTTACCCCAATATGTACAACAACAACGTGTGTATTATAGAACAGTGATGTGTACATTTCTGACACCCCATACATGATATACACAGTTTGTATAAATGCATACATTTAAAAATATATATGTACAATACAGCTATCATAAAACTGTGGTACACGTGACGGATATTACTAGTGCCTACTATGGAGTATAAATCACTGCGTGTTCACATCATCTTGAAAGTGCAGTCATTGTTATAAAATTGGTCAGTGCAGCCAACATTATTTATGAACCACATCTTTAAAACTGTGCAGTAGCATATACATATATATTTTTAAATAACATTTTTCACAGTTTTCCAGAGTTACTGTTGAAATCTGTATCACCAAAAAAAGAAAACAAGATTTTTTTAATGATGTAGACACTCTTCAGACCCAGTTATCTGCGTGTGACTTCCTGTTTGTAGATACCCAAGAGACTTCAGCGGTCAACAGCCTTAACGCATGTACAGGATATTATTGTGACTTAATTTATCTGCAGTTTTTAATCCATGTGAAATTGGAATTTATAAACTTGGACTTGGATTAAATATGTCTGCCTTTCTAAGGTTGCAAGCGTTACATTAAATGATCTATGTTGTACATGAGAGAAATCGAGTTGTATGTAAAAAAAAAAAAAAAGTCCACCCATTTCTGTGAATATTTTTAGGAAGAAATTTTTGAGTTGAAATATGTTCAGATCAGTGTTTTGGCTCCCAACTCATAATCTCCTTAGAAGCAAACTCCATGTTTCATGAATGTTTTAAGTATGATTCCCATGAATTTACATTGCCAAGTTTGATAGCTGTCATGGGAAAAAAAAATATGCTTTTTTTCATTGTAACTATAGTTTCCTACTTGCCTTTCCCATAGCCAATACTACAGTATGTACGTGTATATGTGCACACGTACACACACACACACACACACACACACACCAGTATCGCAGAAAGCCCTGACTAGGACACTTCAGAGCTTCCTCCCAGTTCCTGCGGGACACCTGTCCAGCCAGGAGCCCGACACTCTTCTGCTCACCATTCTTTCACCTCACACTCTTTGACTTGTGTCCCAGGCTTTTCCAACTCAAACCAATGTGGTAGAATTGTGCCCACAAAGGAGTTAAGAAAAACAAGAATAAATTATGACCTAAAGATGGAGCCACTAGGGCTGGGGAGATAGCTCGACAGTCTGAGGGCCTGCCTGGCAAGAGCAAGGACCCAAGCTGCATGCTGGGCTAAGCCCGGAACCCCAGGCATGCCATGCCAGCCCCAAAATAGCATGGTGGCACACGCCTGTAATCCCAGCACAGGAGAGGCTGAGACAGGAGGATCAATACAAATCTGAACTGCATAGCAGGACCCTGTATTAAAAAAAAAAAAAAAGACGGTGCCTCTAAACCAATGAATGGACCCTAGTGGGAGGGTTCTCGTTAGCCTCATTTTTCCCTCTTACCTCATTCCCTTTGCTTCTCCTGCAACTAAAAGAAGCAGAAATAACCACAGAAACAAAACAACTGCTGCTCCCTCCCCAGACACAGCCCTAGCTTCCAATACCACCTTGTCTTTGCCCTACTACACCACCTTGTACAAGTCCCGTGTGCTTAGAGGGGAAACTGAGGACAAGCTTGTTTCCAGATGAGCGGCTCAGTTCAGTCCTCGTCAGCCCGGGAGAGGCGCGGCAGAACTCGAGACCCAGAAGAGATCCTTAAGGAAACTGCTGTGCCCAGAGACTGCAGGGTCTGGACCACTTCACGCGCTTTCAGAGCTGGGCTGAGACGCGCCCCGCACCAGTTTTTCACTCGGGCAGCTTTGCCTGGTACATGGCTACCGTCCGTTACTATCGGAATCGTATTTCCAAGACGTATCACATTCTCCATGAAATCTGGACCAACCAGACTCTTCAAAGATTGTTTTCAGAAGAAGAGTAAATAAATAAAACAACCCCATACAGCGCATCTCCAACTATTCAGAGCCAGAGTTTCTCATTTGCCCATTCCCACAAGAGCGCAGCCTGACAAACAGCACAGGCAGTTCCCATGGGAGTGTGTGTCCTCTTTGTCCAAATTACTGTCAGCGGGGTTAACTTGTTTGCTTGGCATGAGGAAAATGATAAAACTCTGTCCTCCAACTAATTATATCTGACCACAGTCTTGGTTTTTAATTATTTAATTGGCACCCTGAGGCAGCAGGGGGTAAGTTTGGGGACAGCTGCAAAGAGATTTAGACTGGGCTGTTACGCTAATGGGAGTCAGGGGATTAAACCTCTATGCCTTACTTGTAAAATCCACCTCTTGCAGCCGACATTGAGGACATGGATCTGAAGAATGAATTTAGTCACTAATTGCAAGTGAACTCAAAGATCAGCGTTTGTCTCCGAATATCAGGAGGTATTGATAAAGCCTGAAAAGTTGAATCAAGTCCTGTTTCCGAACCATTATAAAACCAGGAAAAGCTCGTCAAGAAAGATTTTTATCCATCCAGACACAGTGACACTTGACTATAGCCCAGCTCCTAAGGAGGTTGAGGCAGAAGGATCACAAACTCAAGGCCAACTTAGCACGTTCCTCCCAAAATAAAAAGGGATGGGGACCTAGCTGAATGCTGATGCCTTGGGTTCAATACTCAGCACCAAAAAGAAAGAAAAATGAAGTGGAGAAAAGAAAAAAAAAATTTTATCCACATATGTAAAATAGCACCGATGCTTAGCATTTTCAAATAATGATGTTTAATTATGATAAAATTATGATATCCTGAGTTCCTGTTCTTCATTGCTTTTTCAATTTTTCATCCAACAAAACTGATTTCCCCAAACTTTATAATTTCTCTTTCTAGATGCCTGAGCAAAGAAAAATCCTTAACACTGAGAAATATTCATTACTTGATTAAAACACATTCCATCCACAGTAGCCAAAGAAATTTGATCTTTCCTTTTGCTTCTGTTTTTTTCCTGGTGTGGTGCTGGGGCTTGAACCCAGGACCTTGCACATGCTAAACAAGCACTCTGCAACGGAGCTACTCAGCCCATTTTTTTTTTTTTTCAGTTTTCATTTTGAGACAGTCTCACTAAATTGCCCATATTGACCTTGAACTTGTGACCCTCGTGCTTCTCCCTCTAGAGTAGTTCAGAGGACAGCCATGTGCCACGACATGCTATTGTACTTGATTTCATTAAAAAACATTTTGGGGGTCTCCTCTGTGACTTTCACCCAAAAGCATGAGGGGCTAGAGCATGGTCCTGCCATTGGATGCCCGTAATACTAACTTCAGAATCTGATCTTTAATCATAGATACCTTCAGAGCATCACCTACTGTCCCGGGGGCGCTTTAAGGAATGAGCTAGCTAGCAATACTGTCACTTCCTTTGAGTCACCTAAAAATGGATTATTTTGCATCCTGAAGTTCCTACAGTTTCCAGTTTGACACAAAAAGTGTCTTTCTCTGCACTGGGTTGGTGGTGGTGGTGGTGATGGTGGTTGATGATGATGGGTTTTTGGGTACTGTGTCCTTCTAATTTCTGATGTTATTATTTGTTGTTTGACACAGGTTCTTGCTTTGTAGTGCAGGTTGGCCTTGAACTCACCATGTAGTCAAACCTGCAGTGATCCTCCTGCCTCAGCCTCCCTATGAGTGCTGGGATTATAGGCATGTGCCATTGTGCTTAGCTTCCTTCTGAATTCTGTCATCAGATTTAGTGTCTTGACCCTTTGGTGGAATGGTTCCTAGAAACAGCAGGGCTTACAGAAACTCAGCTTCAGTGTAGGACCTCACTGGTGTTGGGCTGAGTTATGGGAACATTAATGGGGTCTCCCCCCTTACCATGCACCTATGAAACTCTGCGCCTCAGTTTCCCCTATGAAGTGTAACTGTGCACACTGACCACCTCCCAGAGTGAGTGTGAGGCTAGACAGATTTGGGCAATCATTTTAAGATCCCTGTTGTCACACTCAGAGGACTTTAAGTATTACACACTCAGAGGAACCGAGGCAAAGGAAATACACAACCTCTGTGGCAGGATCTAGCTCTGACCATGGGGCAGTTAGCCCCCCACCCAGTGGGACAGGAGGCTGTCAGGAGCACCCAGGACAGGGAACAGGGTGGAGGAGTTCCTCTACATATGTTGCCACCCTTGGGGCCCTTCCTGGCTGGAGCAGCACTCTTGTTAGACCATAGGCTGGACACAGATCCCTGTGCTCTTGCTCATCAGCCCCAGCCTCCAGGAATCAGTGGGCACCAGATGGAAGGGAATGAGCCACAGAGGTCCGAGCTTTCAGGTTTATCTCCTTCTGTGGCAAGGAAACTTGCCTGCTGGGCACTGCACATCAGACGTCACCAAGAACCAGTGGCCCATGACACAATCTCCTTTGGATCCCAGGAGGCTGAGTTCTCTTCATGTGAGTCTTGTGCCTTGAGTGCTAATTATTGGGAGGTGGGGTGGTGACACTGTAGGGACAGCTGCTCTGGGAGGACCATCCCTGAGCAAGGAGATATGTCACAGGGGACTTGGGGATCCTGCATTAGCTCCAGGAAAGAGGAAACCTCTCTGGGGAAAATGGATGATTTTTCTTCTCTAGTGGGTTCTTTTACCTCAACATAATCACTTAATTATAGGTGAAACCCTAGTCAGGGAATCAGGAGGAAGGATCAGTAACATCTGTAAGAACTCACTGATTTTTGAGATTCCCAAATAGACACTGAACCTTCCGATCCCCAACACACAAAGACTAGCCATCCAGTTAATACAATCCAGATACTTCATTCCACATGAGACAAATCCCTCAATGGTCAATTGACATTCCCAGGTCTTATCTAATATTTGTATTCTTTACATACATGACAGCCAGTGCCTCTGTTCTGTATCCCTAGATCAGTGTTTTAAGTTGAATCGTGATAATCATGAAATATTCATTCCCAAGAGCTCCTTTTCATACTCACTGCCGGCCGCTCTCTGAGGCTTCCCCAACAGAAAGGGACAACAGCCAGACGTCTTCGGAGATCCAGCCTGGTTAAAGCCCACATCAGTATTAACACCCTTTTCACAGGTACACAGACTTTGCCATGTAGGAGTTCTGGGCATTTAGATTTAGGAGAAAAAGAAGCGTGGGTTGCAACGCTCATTAGGAGAAGGAGCTAGGCTGGGGCGATAGCTCAGCAGCATAAGCTCCTGCCTGGCAAGTGCAAGGTCCTAAATTCAATCCCTGGTACCAAAAAAACCAGAGCTACACTAGGTGGACACCTAGATTTTTATTTTTCAGGCAAAAATAAATATTCCTGTGACAACCTAATAGTTGCTTGCTTTTGTGGCTCTGTGAAAATTTAAAGTCATATCCGTGAAGTCTGCTACAGTCAGCGAAGGAAAT